AATCGCGGCGCGCGTAAAATTGAAACGTTACGGAAACCGATGGCGCATCGTTGGCTGGCAAGTAGCCGTCGCAGGTGAGCTAGCGAGAGAGCAAAAGGTTAACACCCTCTGCTAGCCTTAAGAGCGCGTTAACTCAGTTAAGCCCGTGACTTAGGAGAGTTCCGAGCGCTGAACGCTCGATGCCGAACACCGAACTCCTCCTCCTCTTTCTACTCCCTCTTTCTACTCCCTCTTGCCCCTATCTGTTCTGTTCCGTTCTGTTCTGAACCGTACACTCGCATCTCCGACTCGAACGATCGATCTAATTCGAGATCCAAAACGTTGCCGACCAAATTTTCGCTACCGACAATTTCTAAGCCATGCTCCGTATACGAGAAGAAGAAACTTCGAAGGATTAAGGTTGCGAATCCGTGGGAAACTCGCGGCTCGTCGCTCGAGCATGGGAAAGTACCGGCTATCGGTTATAATTCTATATTACGGTTCGCGCAACTACCTACCGATTAAAGTTCGCGACCACGCGATACCGCCATCTCACCTGATCGCGTGTACACGTACACTCTACGGTTATGAATACGCGGTTATTTATATGCGAGTATATGCTCTTCGTTTCATAAATTTACCTTTTAAATTTGTTAATTTACAATTAACCGAATCGGATTTGCGGGAACAGTACAGATTCCAGGAAGAGTCGTAAACAGATAAAGACGAACGCGATATATTCGAAATGAGCAGGCCGAACGAAACGCGGTACACGGGAAAATCAAATGAAAGGAAATAAGTCGAATTACGACGGAAAGGAAAAGTGGAAGTTAAGAAAAGAGAAAAAAATGAAAAGAAGTGGAAGTTGTGAGCGGACGTCTCGTGTGCAAATACGCGCGAAGACGAATCGGTGGTTAGTTGTTGCGGCTAAGAGGTGCGCTCTCGCGGCAATGTGCGCGAGTATCCATCTAAATACAAATACAAATGCGCTTACACGTACACGTAGATGCGGTGCAAGAAAAGCCGTGATACCGTGCACACGGAGACGCGATACGAGCGAAGCTCCAGGCGCGGTCAGATTAATGAAACTCGTGCGGACAGTGGTTCTCTTTTCTTCTTTCGCTATCGTTGCGAGCTATATTTTTACGGTTAATAATTTTCGATTTCTAACGATCTTGTCGAATCGTAACGACAGCGACCGAGCCCAGATTATCCATCGAACGACGAAAACATAGAGAAACGAGGAGGAATCGATTCCTCCGTTGACACCACCAGTCTCGCTATTTAATGCTGCTACGCACTTTTTATCACCCTCTCGATGTTATTACCAGCGAATATTTATTGGAAACTCCGATGAATTCGTTGAACGTAATATGTATGCGAAATCGACGATCACGGGTACACGTGTTACACGTATTGTATGGGGGATACGGTGACGCGCGGTCTCTTCTCGCGCGTTACGACCCGGCGTAGTTCACCAACGGCGATCAAGTTCGACCGTTGACCCACTTGACGAGTCAATTCGATTCCGCGTTTAACCATTCGACAGAAAGAGACATCCTTTAATAATCGTTCCTCTTCTATCGAGCTTGATCAGTAACTTCAAAGTCAGCGACGAGGTTAAACGATCGCTATCTGCCAACCTCCTTGCATCCAACCACCCGCCTTCCTTCCTTCCTTACTTCCTTTCTTCCGTTCTTCCGGTTTCGTTAACGGACGATCGACTCGTCCAAAATAAGGGAACATTTTCGACGATCACTTAACCGGGCAACACGGACAGACTTTCCTATATGTATCCCGGTCGGATCATACACGTGTTGCTCGTTAGTCGATCTTCGTTCGTAATTCTGCGAGTTGTGCTACACCGCGATTTTACTCTGTTCTTACGTACACGCATAAACGAGCTTTTTCCTTCGCGTCAGTCGGCTAGTTCCGAGTTTCGCGTACTTTTCATTAATGCTAAGCGTCGAAACCGTAATCACGGTTCACGCGTTCGCTTAATGATAATTTGAAACCGCTCTTTGCCACTCGATATGACGCGACGCGTGACGTTTTTATTCGCGTGCTCGGAAAACCGTCTACGAGCTATTACCATATACGGGACGATATATTTTTTTCTTTCGAGCAACACGAAACATTCGCGCCACTAGTAATCGCTATGATACGGATAAAATCGTTATTATTCGATATTATCCAGATATTATTCCTCGTGTATTGGTAAATCCTGCAACAGCAACGAATCGTAGCTACTTTTTTTTTATCCGCGTATTTAGGTTACTTTGACACGTTACGCACGTACGATGCAGTTCGTTTCAACGAGTACGTTTAATTTTCATCGTTACGATTCTCCAATGAGTAATACGCCACGCGACGCGGGAGGCACGCGAGCGTGCCAAAATAAAACGGATTCGTCCAGACTTTTGCCTTTTTCCTTCGTCGCCGAACAATTTGCGCACGTTTCCCGCGACTATGTTCGCGTTAATATACAAAAATAAACAACCGAATTATCATGCATCGAAAACTGTAGACTGACGTAAGTCGATATCTAAACGCGAAGAAACATGATACGCAATCGCGTTATGATAAAAACTAACCCGTTTCGTTGACGGTGCACGAATCGGCCGATTTCGACTGCGATCGACGAATACGACGTCCGATGGTGATCCTGAGTACTGGACGAGAAGGTGGTTGCCGTCGAATCGTAGTTACGCAACACGTACCACGTAACACGTAACACGCAACACGCAACTGGTGGCACACGCGCGACCTAGACGACCAGGAACGGACGAAACGTCAGTGGTCACCGTTGTCGTGGCCGTCGTTGGTCGTCGTCGTCGTTGTTCGCGTAACGCAACGGCACGAGACGTACCATTGGGCACGCACGATAATCGTGATATCGAAGCAACTACGAACCCGTCGGATAGTCTGTGTTCGCGAGTCGGACAACGGAGACCGAACGGAGACCGAACGAACGTCTCGGGAGAAGACGCGAGATCTCGGTAGGCGGGTCACTCGCGAAACACCGCACCGCTTTCACAGTCGAGAGAGAGTAGGGCGCTCCGAACTCTGAACGACGCGACCATCGAACACAAAAATCCAGCTACATCGGATACGTCGTAGCAAGCACGTTCTCTCTCTCGCCACGATCGACCGCAACGTCCGTATCGTTTGCACTGCCGCTCGCGTCTCATCGCGTCCGTGCTCGACCTCGTCCTCTACGCGAACGCGACTTCGTCCGTTTCCGTCGTTCCTCGTTTAGCGCGCCAACAATGGCGCCACACCGCGCCACTAAATTTTCTATACCTTTCCTTCTATTTTTTATTCCGGACCAATTTATTTACGATTAAAACTCTTTTTGCTAAAACATTAGCCACCTTTTTAACGGCAACTATAATCATTGTCGATTAAATTATTCGAACCCGAACTATGAAATCCGCCGAAATTTTTTTACTATTGTTACTATTTTAACGATCGAAATATCGTGTTTTCGTCTACTCATCGTGTATCGTTCTGGGTAAAACATACATGTATATATATGCTCGTGCACATTCGGACGTTGGGACGGCACAAAATTTAACATATGCGTCGAATTATTTTTGCACGAAACGCGGGAAAGGCGGAATGATACAGTGCTACCATCTCGCGAGTTCGAACGGAAGCTTCGGTTCGCGATCGATTAAAGAAATTCGATGACGCAAAACTGCACGATCTTTGGAAAAGTCCATTAATCGGTACATTCATCAATTTTCTCAATTTCGTAACTATTTCATTCTATAATTTTGCAAAATATCGTTCTTACCGAGTATCTCTTCTCTTTTTAGAAGATTGTTCATCGATCGATAATACTGTAAGATCGGAAGATCTATTCTGATTAGAATTATCCCGTTTAAACTGTATTTTATCGACCGATATCCTTTAAGAAGCATCGAACACGGAGCGAAGCTATGGTTTTAAGAGGAGAGCAACGGTACCGCTCGTGATCACGATCACTATGCCAACTCGGCGTTCAAATCTCTCGATCAACTGGCACGCAATGTTCTCGTATCCTGGAATAAACTCGCATAGATATTATTCGTTTTTCATTGTTCTCATCGAGTGTTTGCAAAGAAAAAGGAAAAATAGAGAACGAATCGTATATCCTCGTTTGCCGATTTACAAATAATAGATTCGTTTGATCGCAAAACGCGTACGCGGTTAGGGTGTGGCTGAAATCGCGAGAAGAAGAAACCTACCGTATCGACTAATGGCACTGGTATTGTTTTCGTTAAGCAATTTGTCCGATAGTAAATCAGAGGCATCCATCGTAAAACGCGCGCGAAACGAGAAGAGTGGAAAACGTTTAGATGAAAAGAACGAATGACCGAACCGCGCTTTTAAAGAATAAGTCGCGTAAACGTCGATGGAATAATAGGCGACGAATCGCGAGTTTCCTGAGACGAAAGGGAAACGTCCGCTGACGAGTCCCGAAACTTGAAAGAAGCGGCGCGTGGCACGTACGAATAGGACGTATCGTCGAGTATAGAGCCGCGAACGAATACAACCGCAACTCTCTAGTTTCCGATATTTGCTGCGGCTGCGCCGTTGCGCGCCATCTACCAGGAGGATTCGGCACGATATTTTTATCAAGATCGTTTCGCCCTTCTACTCGGTTTGTCAATTTCATCGGTAGAGTCAAACGTGGTTCGAAGATGGCGATAGGAGGGTAAGACGAGCAGACGCTTCGCGAGGAAGCCTCTTAGTTGCCGTGACAGCAGAAATTCCGAGTCCCGTCGTGTCAGGTGAGTGAAAATCGTATTGTCGCAACGAAGCAAGGGCACGTTTAGGTTCGTTGAAAGATCAAACGGTTCGAATATGACACGGAATGGCGGGAAATTTTCACCGATCTTCGGACTAGCGAGGAAATCTCGGAGTGTAAGGGATAACTTGTCGGGTTCAGGTCTGGGAAGTTCAATGCGCACAGCGTGTATACCCGACCTGATCCGATCCGACGAAACGAGAGCATCGAAGCTCTCTCGCGTATCTCTCTCGGATACCTACGTATGCGTATAACGCGACGGTAGTCGCGCTTGCACGATCAAAAATATTCACCGACACTCGAATGCCCTAATCCGCGCGCGTTCGTGTGGATCGCGAGAGCTGGTAATCGCGTGGCGGCTAAACGCGGCGAGGCGAGGCGAGACGAATCGAAGTAACGCGAGGCAAAGCTAATCCGGGCAAGAGACGCGGCGACCAAATATACGAGCTTCAAGTACCGTGTAAACTTCCTCTCCGTCTAAATTAGCCAATCGACTCGCCGTTTTCCCCTACTTTTAACAGTAACGATGATCGGTTGTTTCATGACCATCGAGTTAAACGATAACGCGTCGATTTTGTTTGAAAAAGGAACACGGTCGATGCGTCAGAGCGAGTATCGCGGTATCGGATATGCTATTTGTCGAGTTATACAACCCGTATAACTACGGAATGGAATATCAAGATGGATCATACGCGGACAATCGGTAATCGGATGTCGTTCAAATCCCTGCATAGTTGGTTAGATTAAAAACCAGCAAAGAAATACCATCGGTATTTCTTGTTTTCTTTCAGATGGTAGCGGGTTGCTCGATTCTCGGTAATTAACGGAACGACTCGGAGCTTGGTCATCGAATGCCGGTGAACTGCCTCGGTACACTCGATGCGTTACGCACCTATCGAAGTTGTATCTTTGCTTTGTCACAGTCGATGCGGTTTTGTCCACGGAGGGAAAAAAGCCCGAAGAAGAAATTATCTTGCGAGCGAAAACGTCCGAGGCAAAGAGAAAAGGCTTTCGATCGAATCGAAAGCTCGTGTATCCGTTGAACGGTCGTCGCTCGATCGCGTAGGAAATAGCGACGATATCGCCGCTACAGGTGTAGGTATTATAATTATAAAGGTGTAATCGTACCAAAGGAGATTATTATAAGGAGAGATAATAGGCAAGCGATAACGATCGATTGCGTAAACGGATAGGAGGGTGAGAAGGAGAGAGAATTCATAGATAATTGGTAGATAGAGGTAACGAAAGCGATTGATCGCGGAGGAGCGAAAGGTACAAGATAAACTTTCAGATAAACTCGTTTCAGATGAAAAATAAAAGGCGGCGGTTCTGTGTTGGAACGAACGCGTAAAAGCGGCCGCGGCCAACGAAAAGGACATTGAACGAGCCATTTAATTCGTTCGAAAGACGATCGAAGAGAAGTCGCAAGGTTCGCGCGAACGGTCTAGGACGTTCGAACGTCCAGAAACGCGTCGCGAAGCGGTTAACGACGAAGCGGAGAAACGGAAAAAGGAGGAATAAGCAAAAAGAGAGAGAATGATCGGGGAGAGGGTAAGAGACGATAGGTTCGTAAGGGAGAAAGGTGATATGTCTCGGGGCAGCGGATCGCCGGCGGAGGGTTGGAAGAACGAAAGGGGAAAAGGGGAAAGAGTCTGAAGCACCGTGGACCAGGACGAACTGGGGCGGACCAGGGTGGCGAGGGTATCAGGAGCAAAGCGGGGTAAAATCGGAGCGATATCGACCGCGAATTGCGCTTGCGCGGAAAAAGGCGCGCAATCGCCGTCGAGAAAGCGGCGGTATCGTCGCGAGATACGAACACGGTCAGTCGATCGTCGCGACGAGTAACGTTGATCAGTCACCCCGTCGCGTTCCGTCGTTTCGCCACTTCCTTTTTATCGACGCACAACGGCGTTCCGTTGCGTTGTCTCGCGACCGATCGACCCGTCCCGTCCTCTGTCCCGTCTTTCTTCCTCTTCTTCCTCCTCCTCCTCCTCCTCCTCCTCCTCCTCCTCCTCCTCCTCCTACTTCTCCTACTCCTCTCCCC